CTCTCTCTCTCTCTCTCTCTCTCTCTCTCTCTCTCTCTCTCATAAATAAAAAAAAAATAAAAAGTAGAATAAAATACTAAAATTCAATAATGTAAGGACAAGACTAGCATTTAAGCTGAGAAAGAATAGAAATATGAATCTTTGGAACACATTTGAATGCTAGAATACCATAAGAATTAAATGACATAGCATTTAAAAGCATGTAAAGCACCTAGCTGCATATTGATAAGATCACAAGTTTGAGCAAGTTTTCATATTTTTGATCTTAAAGGACAAAATAGAAAATGCAAGGAATATTTAAATTTATCATGAAATTCTCATTGAGATCATTAAAGCCAACAGAGAATTTGCAACTTTATTTGTTTGAATCAATCAGTAGCAGAGTTGGGACAGCAAGAACAAATTCATTTTCTTTCTTAGAAATTTTCCTCTACTATTTTGGATGAAGTGAGGACTAAATGTGAAATGACCCCAAATTTGAGATCACCTCATACTGAAGGTATTTTTGTGTGTGTGAAATAAAATAGACAGTTTTTATTTTAGTACAATTAATGCTGACATTCTCTGTGGATTTTATAATGATTAAACAAGCTTCTGAAATTCAAGCCTCTTATGTCCTTCAACATTTCTTCCACAGAAAATTGACCAACAAGACTAATATTTAGCAAATTTGACAATTCTCATTCTTTTATCATTTTCAGTAATTATGGGGTTATAGTGAATCACAGCTTGTATCGTGTGAATTTAACTGAGAACCGTATGTTTAAAAAACAATAATCTATGAAAAAAGTACTTAAAACAAACTCTTAGATTAAACTTCAAGGAGACTTTCGTCTATAACACTGGCAATACATAAATAATTGATCACTCACTTAAGTGACTACACATAAATTATATATTTCTTAATACAAACTCTTAAGAAGTCACTTCATCTCTCTAAATTTTAGTTTGTATATAAGTCAAACATACTCGCCAAACTCACAGTTGTTTTGGAGATCAAATAAGACATCATATATAAACATTCCATTGTCTATGTTGTGATAAGGTATTCCACGATACTATTTTAAAACAGATTATGGTACTATCTGATATATTTGGTTTTTTTCTTTATAAATACTAAGAATTCTGGCAAAGGTTGTGTACCTTCCACCACTTATGGTAGGATTTCAAGAGAAAATAGAGGGTGGGAATACATGAAACAAAATATAATTTTAGATCCTTAAAACTAGCTATAAGTACAACTGAATTAACTATACTTTAAAACTCACCCATCAACCACTTCAATGTTCCAGATACTGGCAATTCTATACCCATTTCAAAAATAGAATGAATGTAGATCAAATAAAATTAAAATGCATTGGAAGAATATCTTTAAGTGTTAAAGTCTTAAGCTTGCCTCTGAGAAGCACGGTGATCACCCCCATTTCACCTAGCAGAACACTGCATGTTCTATTTCTGGAAGAAGTAAGAACAGGGTGAAAACAGTTGAGATTGGAGAGGCCATACTGAATCCAGAAGGAATAAACTGAAGTCGGATTCAAGGGCAAGATGTCAGCTCTCTCACCTGTCCTGGTTCTTAGGAATCTCTTATAAAGAGCACTTTTTTTCAAGCAAAACTGAACAGCTCCAGAGTTATAGCATTCATTATTATTTAATATCATAAAGAACCTATTAAGTACATGTTTGTGTCCCATGTTGCAAACTAAAAAAAAAAAAAAAAACCACAGAAGTGATATTACCCTACCAAAAATCACATGGTTACCTTGTGATAAAAGCTGGAGTTAAACATCAGCTAATCTTAGCTTGACGTTCATGATATTAAACACTGTATTATATTACCTGTATCTGAAGACACAGATAGTGGGTTTTTAAACTAAATTACTGACTCAGGGTATCCCATCCTTAAGCAACAACTCAGAGTTTGCACTTACCCTTTTAAAATCTATTATGAGTAATCAAAAGAGAGAATTAATGTTATCTAACATAAACTGTAAAGGCCCAAATGACATAAATATCTTCAGCTCAGTAAAAGACATTAAACAATAGAAAGGAGAATAAATGAATCCTATTCAAAGAAAATTCAGTGACCAAAAAGAAACATGCTAAAAATCTGTTATCAAAATGAAAACTTCAAGTAAAATGTTGGAAGGTAGACCTAGAGAAATTTGCCAAGGAAGTATAATGAAATCTAAAAGATAGGGGAAAAATAAAGAATGTCTCAAGAAACACGAATGGTTAAATAAAGGATGATTCTATGTAAAATGTATAACAAGAGAGATTAAGTATGTTTTAGACCGACACAAGGCCTTAAAAATTTTTTTCCTAGACATCAATTCAATGGGTGGAATAACTGAAGAAAGAAATCTTTGGCTTGTGCACCAAGAGAAAAGAAACAGAGTGTTACAAAATTATGAAAAATAGATCAGAAGTGAGCAAAGAATTCCTGATGTTTTTCTAAATGTTTTAAATTTTGAACAAGCTCTTCTCTGTCTCCAAGCCTCAGGTTCGTTCTGGTGATTATGATTCAGAAAGCTTTATAACTTCGGTGTCTCACCTCACTTTTGTTACAAATTTTAATTTAGAAATCTTGGAACTGTACCCCTTTCCTTTGACTCTGAAATTTAAATCTCTCTGAAAGCCTCTCACCAATTTTACAACTCAGGATTGTATCAAAGATCCAGGAGTCTTGCTTTGGAAATGTACTGTTAGGGCAACATGCGTAGCAAACTTCTTGCCTCTGTGGAATGGAAGGAACTTAGCTTCAGCTCAGAGCTCTACCAAAACTGTAAAACTAACTCTTGTTTCAAAGATAAGTAGACAGTTTATTACTTCTTTGAACAAAGTCAATTACCAGACACAGATTGTTATGAACCCTAACCTCATAGAACTCTTAAAACCTTTGCCAGGGATTGGTGGAGGGACAGAAGTGGGGGATTTAAAGTAAATTAAGATGGATTAAGATTATATATATATATATATATGCATATATATATTCATTATAATATTCATTATGTATTGCAAATATGTACCAAAAAATCTGTCCCATGTCTAAAAAAATCTCATCTTAGTTCTCAAAGCTTCAGTGTTAGAACATAGTTTGACTTCTCTTCTCTTTATTAAAATAAAGAGCTGAATAAAGACCTGGCTATCTGTTTAACATTTCCCAGAGTAAGTTTTACTTCTACAGGGCCAAGTCATTATTTTCTGTAAAATAGTTACTGACGTCCTTTTATGTGCTAAGCATTTACATATCAACCAGGTTCCAGATGTCATGAGTCATTAGCATGCAAGAACATAACAGCTATTTCCCTTCATGATTGGAGTAGTGAGAAGCCAAAGCAAGAGTGAAACAGATGTGGCAGAGGTGGTGATGCTGAAAAGATGGATAAGGCTGCTGGGTGGAGAAGGGTTCAGCTGTAGCAAAGGTAGATCCAGTAAGACCATTTAATACCC